CTGCCTACGAGCGCGTGACACACTGCACGTGTGCTCGGACGGGTCGCCACCTGGCTACTTTCACTCGAGAGCCGGGGTCGGACCTGTACACACTGACCACTGAGTCCCCTCAGGTAGCTGCATCTGCGTCTACGTCTGCGTCTGCGTCAGGTCAGCTGTCCGCCCCCTGCTCGTGTCGCTCTCTGGCACATGAGACTGTCCTTTGGCACCACCGCCTTGGTCACCCGTCTGTGCAGCGCCTTCGGGCCATGCACAAACGGGACCTTGTTGCTGGACTTCCCAGGGTGCTCCCTCCCCTTCCCGACTCGCCTGCTCCTCCCTGTCTTCCCTGTGTCGAGGGGCGGCAGCGCGCCGCTCCTCACTCCTCCTCCTTTCCCCCGACGACTGCTCCTTTGCAGACGCTCCACCTGGACGTGTGGGGCCCAGCCCGCGTCCGAGGTCAGGGTCAGGAGAGGTACTTCCTGATTGTTGTTGACGACTTCTCGCGCTACACCACGGTCTTCCCCTTGCACACCAAGGGTGACGTCCCTGATGTCTTGATCCCTTGGATCCGCAGATCTCGTCTCCAGCTCAGTGAGCGTTTCCGCTCCGACTTCCCTGTCCTGCGTCTGCACTCTGACAGAGGTGGAGAGTTTTCCTCTGGCCTCTTGGAGGCCTTCTGTCAGCAGGAGGGCATTGAGCAGTCGTTCACGCTTCCGGCCTCTCCACAGCAGAATGGGGTTGCTGAGCGCCGCATTGGCTTGGTCATGGAGGTCGCTCGTACCTCCTTGGTTCATGCGGCTGCCCCCCACTTTCTGTGGCCGTTTGCAGTCCGATACGCTGCGCATCAGCTCAACCTCTGGCCCCGTGTCTCCTTGCCCGAGACTTCTCCGACACTGCGTTGGACGGGAGAGGCTGGCGATGCGTCGCGTTTTCGGGTCTGGGGATCCCGAGCTTTTGTTCGCGACACGTCCGCGGACAAGCTCTCCCGTCGCGCTGTCCCCTGCGTCTTCCTTGGCTTTGTCCCGGACGCCCCTGGTTGGCAGTTCTACCACCCCACCTCGCGGCGTGTCCTGGCCTCTCAGGACGTCACTTTTGACGAGTCCGTCCCCTACTACCGCCTCTTCCCCTACCGCACTGCCCCGCTCCCCCCCCCGCCTCTCTTCCTCGCTCCAGGTGCTGAGGTACCAGACCCCCTCCCCCCTCAGGGTGCCGCTCCCTCAGGTGTGTCCCAGGTAGACCCGGTTGAGCCTGTCGAGGTAGCTGTTGACTCTCGTCCTGCTGGGGGTACTGAGCCTGACCGTGAGGAGTCTGAGGGTGCTGAGCCTGGGGGTGCGGAGTCTGGAGGTGCTGAGCCTGGAGGTGCTGAGCCTGGGGGTGCTGCGTCTGGGGGTGCTGCGTCTGGAGGTGCTGAGCCTGGGGGTGCTGAGCCTGACCGTGCTGAGTCTGGGGGTGCGGAGTCTGGGGGTGCTGTGTCTGGAGGTGCTGATCCTGAGCGTGCTACACCTGGAGGAGCCCTCTCCTCCCAGCAGCTGCAGGAGAGGTACCTACAGTACTGCCGCCTCCGGAGAGGTGCTACTGGAGCTCGTACCAGTACTTCCCCTCCTACCCAGGAGCTCCCCCCCATTCAGCAGATCCGAGAGTGGTACGCGCGGCGCTGCAGTCTTCGGAGTGGTGCTCCTGGTGCTGCGGACCCCAGCGGTGGCGCTGCTGCTGGTGCTGAGGACCCGGGCGTTGGAGCTACTGCTGGAGCTGAGGACCCGGACGGTGGAGCTGCTGCTGGTGCTGAGGACCCGAGCGGTCGAGCTGCTGCTGGTGCTGAGGACCCGGGCGTTGGAGCTACTGCTGGAGCTGAGGACCCGGACGGTGGAGCTGCTACTGGTGCTGAGGACCCGAGCGGTCGAGCTGCTGCTGGTGCTGAGGACCTGGACGGTGGAGCTGCTGCTGGTGCTGAGGACCCTGCCGCTGGTGTCGCTGCTGGTTCTGGAGACGCTGCGCGGCCGCGACCGTACTTCGTACCACTTCTTCAGCAGGTTCTTGGTCAGGCTCCTCCTCCTTGTCCTCCTCCCTCCGTAGCGTGTCCTCCGCCTGTCCAGTCGCAGTCCCAATTCCCCCCTGCCTCGCCTCTCCCTGCTCCCTCTCCTTATACTGGTCCCACAGGAGGTCTTACAGAGCGTCGTGAGCCTGAGTCTCGTCCTGCGTCGCCTGTTCGTACTGCTCGCACTGGTCGTCGTGTCCCACGTGAGCGTCCTCCTCCTGTCCCTGGCACTCACTACATGACTCTGCGTCCCTCCACTGCTCCTCAGCGTGTCCCGCTGCCGTCTCCTCCTGCGTCCTCTCTGCCTACTCTTCCTGATCCGGAGTCTGACTCCCGTCGTGCTGTCAGTCCCACCGTCACCCGTCTCCTCGCTACTGTTGTCACCGACCCTACCTTTGAGTCCTCTGCTGCGTCTGCTCTGGTCGCTGAGTTGATAGACTTTGCTGCCCGGTGTCGTCTAGACTACGCCGCTAGCCTTGTTGCTGAGTCTGAGTCTGAGTCTGTCTGTCCTCCGTCCGTCGGGGGTGAGTGTGCTCTTGGCACGGACGTCCTTGAGGACAGACAGGAGGAGTTCCAGTGCTTTGCTGCTGCTTTACCCCACCTCGTGTCCATGCTAGTTGCCCCTGAGGGAGACCCGGATGCACCAGACATCCCGACCCCGCGCACTTACGCTGAGGCGATGGCGGGTCCCTACTCCTCTCAGTGGCAGACAGCCATGGACGCAGAGATGGCTTCCTGGAAGTCCACAGGCACCTACGTAGACGAGGTTCCCCCACCTGGGGCGAACATCGTCAGTGGCATGTGGATTTTCAGGGTGAAGCGGCCGCCGGGTTCTCCTCCTGTCTTCAAGGCGCGCTACGTGGCTCGAGGCTTCAGTCAGCGAGAGGGAGTTGACTTCTTTCAGACCTTCTCCCCCACCCCGAAGATGACCACACTTCGGGTGCTGCTGCACATAGCCGCTCAGCGCGACTACGAGCTTCACTCACTTGACTTCAGCACTGCTTTCTTGCAGGGCAGCCTGCACGAGGAGATCTGGCTGCGCCGCCCTCCTGGCTTCACTGGGTCGGTTCCTCCTGGTACCCAGTGGAGGCTTCAGCGGCCGGTCTACGGTCTCCGCCAGGCACCGCGTGAGTGGCACGACACATTGAGGACGACACTTGCGGCTCTTGGGTTCGCTCCCTCTACTGCTGACCCGTCACTGTTTCTACGCACAGACACCTCACTGCCGCCGTTCTACATCCTCGTGTACGTCGACGACTTGGTCTTTGCCACTGCTGACACCGCGGCGCTCGCCCACGTGAAGTCGGAGCTGCAGAGGAGACACACGTGCACAGACCTAGGTGAACTGACAAGCTATCTTGGCTTGCGGATCACCCGGGACAGAGCACGGCGCACCATCACCTTGACTCAGTCACACATGGTGCAGCAGATCCTTCAGCGCTTCCGCTTCACGTACTCCTCGCCTCAGTCCACTCCTCTGCCTACCGGTCACTCGCTCTCAGCTCTGCCTTCGGATGAGTCCGTAGAGCCGAGTGGCCCGTATCCAGAGCTTGTGGGCTGCCTCATGTACCTGATGACCTGCACTCGACCTGACCTTGCATACCCTCTTAGCATCCTTGCACGCTATGTCGCTCCTGGCCGTCACAGGAAGGAGCACATGGATGCCGCTAAGAGGGTGTTGCGCTACTTGTGCAGTACGTCAGGCATGGGGCTAGTGCTTGGAGGGCGAGACCGAGTTGTACTTACTGGACACTCAGACGCTTCTTGTGCGGACTACCAGGCTACTCAGCGGTCGTCTCAGGGTTACACCTTCAGCCTTGGCTCTGGCTCAGTTTCTTGGCGTTCTACACGCTCTTCTTCTGTTCTCAGCTCCAGTTGTGAGGCTGAGATCTACGCCACAGCCATGGCTGCCCAGGAGCTACGCTGGCTGACCTACCTGCTGACCGACTTGGGTGAGTGGCCTCGTTCTCCTCCAGTGCTGTACGTCGACAACCAGGCTGCCATTGCCTTGTGTGAGGAGCACAGACTGGAGCACAGAACGAAGCACATCGCCCTGCGGTACTTCCTTGCTCGAGAGCTGCAGCAGCGCGGTCAGCTTCGTCTGCGTTACGTGGCCACTGAGGCCAACCTTGCTGATGTGTTCACCAAGGCGCTTCCGCCTTGTGACCATCAGCGCTTCTGCACTCTGCTAGGCCTTGTGCCTACTGGACCTCACTTACTTACCTCTTGACCTTGCTTGTACTGTGATCACTATATATATATCTACCTGCATGTTTACTCTTGCTAGGTTGTGATCACTGTATCTCTTGCTCTGTTATAAACCTGCATGTGAACTGGTCTTGTGACCCCTAGGTCTCCCCCACTTTGCCTATGGGGGTGTGTCAAACATTGTATATGTTATATTTGTGTAGGCTGTAGTGGGTTAGCCTATAGGGGGGTCACCACATTAGGGTTTCATATTTGTACTCACAATCCTTTCTAGTTCACCATTCCAGTCTGTTGTTTCGACAGAAACTACTTGCATTGCATGTGTTCATGAAATGCATTGCTGGCAGGTGGCATCTGAAATCATGGGGGCAGCAGAGACGTGTGCGGCACGGCCGGTGAAACCATATGCCTGGCAGATGCTCTTTTCATGGAAACGCAAAGTGGCAAGGTGGCGAGAATGCAAGGAGGCAAGGAGGCAAACGCACCAGGCATGCAGGAAACAGAAGTTCATCGAAAGATCTTCTTAGAGCTGCAAGGAACACGTCAGGAAAAAACATTCAGCGCAGACGTAAAACAGACGTTAGGAACACCTTAGGACGACACAACCTCTGTCACAGCATTGCCTCGCGACAGTGGAATTGGTATATGGCACTCACTCACGCACCTAGGCAAATCACGCACCTAGGCAAATCACGCACCTAGGCAAATTACGCACCTAGGCAAATCACGCACCTATGCAAATCACGCACCTGGGTACGTCACCCACCTGGGTACGTCACCCACCTGGGTACATCACCCACATGGGTACATCGAAGAATTTGCGCAGACTGGCAAACTGCGGCTCCAGCACCAGCTCCAGCGCCTTGCCCTTGCAGGCGGGGTTGGCAAAAAACTTGAGCTGCTTGCACATGGCACCCGCCTGCTGCTTCCCACTAGCACCACCGCCGCCCTTGCTGCCACCCGTGAGCCCGTGCCACCACACCCGCACGTCCCGCCCCGCCTTGGCCACCGCCCGGGGAAGGCTGAAGCAGCGGAGGGCGTCAAAGTTAATGTTTAGATTGACGCCCGGCACCGTGATCTAAGTGGCCACCTGCACGCTCTCCTCCATTGCCCCGCCTGAGCTGCCACCCCCCGCCCCCACCCCCATCTCCACTCGCGTGCTCTCATTCCCTCTTCCAGCATTGACCTCGCTTTTGATGCTCCTCCTTGCTGCCCCTGCATTGCTCGCGCCGCCCACTCGCATGTGCGCCACGAGAGCAATGGCGGCCGCTGCAAGTGGGGAGCAGAGGGGTGAGGGTGAGGGGAAGCAGAGGGGTGAGGGGAAGCAGAGGGGTGAGGGGAAGCAGAGGGGTGAGGGGAAGCAGAGGGGTGAGGGGAAGCAGAGGGGTGAGGGGAAGCAGTGGGGTGAGGGGAAGCATTGGGGTGAGGGGAAGCAGTGGGGTGAGGGGAAGCAGAGGGGTGAGGGGAAGCAGTGGGGTGAGGGGAAGCAGTGGGGTGAGGGGAAGCAGTGGGGTGAGGGGAAGCAGAGGGGTGAGGGGAAGCAGAGGGGTGAGGGGAAGCAGTGGGGTAAGGGGAAGCGGTGGGGTGAGGGGAAGCAGAGGGGTGAGGGGAAGCAGAGGGGTGAGGTGAAGCAGTGGGGTGAGGGGAAGCAGTGGGGTGAGGGGAAGCAGAGGGGTGAGGGGAAGCAGTGGGGTGAGGGGAAGCAGTGGGGTGAGGGGAAGCATTGGGGTGAGGGGAAGCAGTGGGGTGAGGGGAAGCAGAGGGGTGAGGGGAAGCAGTGGGGTGAGGGGAAGCAGTGGGGTGAGGGGAAGCAGTGGGGTGAGGGGAAGCAGAGGGGTGAGGGGAAGCCGAGGGGTGAGGTGAAGCAGTGGGGTAAGGGGAAGCAGTGGGGTGAGGGGAAGCAGAGGGGTGAGGGGAAGCAGAGGGGTGAGGGGAAGCAGTGGGGTGAAGGGAAGCAGTGGGGTGAGGGGAAGCAGAGGGGTGAGAGGAAGCAGTGGGGTGAGGGGAAGCAGTGGGGTGAGGGGAAGCATTGGGGTGAGGGGAAGCAGTGGGGTGAGGGGAAGCAGAGGGGTGAGGGGAAGCAGTGGGGTGAGGGGAAGCAGTGGGGTGAGGGGAAGCAGTGGGGTGAGGGGAAGCAGAGGGGTGAGGGGAAGCAGTGGGGTGAGGGGAAGCAGTGGGGTAAGGGGAAGCAGTGGGGTGAGGGGAAGCAGAGGGGTGAGGGGAAGCAGAGGGGTGAGGGGAAGCAGTGGGGTGAGGGGAAGCAGTGGGGTGAGGGGAAGCAGAGGGGTGAGGGGAAGCAGTGGGGTGAGGGGAAGCAGTGGGGTGAGGGGAAGCAGAGGGGTGAGGGGAAGCAGTGGGGTGAGGGGAAGCAGTGGGGTGAGGGGAAGCAGTGGGGTGAGGGGAAGTATTGGTGTGAGGGGAAGCAGTGGGGTGAGGGGAAGCAGAGGGGTGAGGGGAAGCAGCGGGGTGAGGGGAAGCAGTGGGGTGAGGGGAAGCAGAGGGGTGAGGGGAAGCAGAGGGGTGAGGGGAAGCAGTAGGGTAAGGGGAAGCAGTGGGGTGAGGGGAAGCAGTGGGGTGAGGGGAAGCTGTGGGGTGAGGAAGCAGTGGGGTGAGAGGAAGCATTGGGGTGAGGGGAAGCAGTGGGGTGAGGGGAAGCAGAGGGGTGAGGGGAAGCAGTGGGGTGAGGGGAAGCAGTGGGGTGAGGGGAAGCAGTGGGGTGAGGGGAAGCAGTGGGGTGAGGGGAAGCAGTGGGGTGAGGGGAAGCAGTGGGGTGAGGGAAGCAGTGGGGTGAGGGGAAGCAGTGGGGTGAGGGGAAGCAGTGGGGTGAGGGGAAGCAGTGGGGTGAGGGGAAGCAGTGGGGTGAGGGGAAGCAGTGAGGTGAGGGGAAGCAGTTGAGGTGAGGGGAAGCAGTGACAGTGCGTGACGGAAATCAGGGTGAGAGGGGAGCAGAGGGGTGAGAGGGAGCAGGGGATGAGAGGATAGGCCTCGCATTGCTTGTGTTCTTCCTGGGCACTGTGGGAAAATGAAACGCAGCCGAACCCTTGGACAAGGAGAGGAGGAGGGAGAGGACTCACCACTGCAAATCACGGCAAGGACGAGGAGCGGAAGCAGTACGGCAGGAGAGGAAGCCGCCATGGCTATCAAGCTGCCGGTGGGGCAATTCTTTGTGCCGCGCACTTCTTAAAATTTCAGAAACCAGATCGTCAGGTGGGATGGTTCTTATGCAGTGCGAAGCTGTCACTGTTAGTGTATAGCACGCACACCCGAGTGCCTCCTTCGACAGTCGTCAGCCTTCCGGGTGACGCTCGTCGCACGCGCGCGTGATTCGTACAGTTGGATACTACTTCTAGTAGCTGCTTGCACTTCATACAGTCACTGGCACGAGAAGATGGCACAGAAGCGCCGGCGGAATGCCTTGTTCTGGCGGATGACTCATCCTAAATCGGTATTATAGAGAGAGATCGGACGCTGCCCCATCGCCCGAGGCATGTACAGTACGAGGCACGGCTCGAGGCCGGCAATAGGAACGCGATTGGAAATTTTGAGTGACCGCAATGCATCACGACGATTATTGTGCGGCATGACCCGAGGCTCGCAGTACAGTACGAGGCGCTGCACGATCGCCGCGATTCGGGTGAGCGGAATGGGTCACTACAATAAGAGTGCGGCATCTGGGCCAAGGCTGTAAACACGTTCTCTTTATAAAGTCTTCCGCGCACTCTGTTTAGTACAACTCTAACATTTGCACTAAGTTGGCAAACGAGTAACCGAGAGAGACTTGGGGTGCGCCACCTATATTACTACAATGCACAGTAGCTACACTAGATTATGCAACTAGATTATACAAATTTACCAGTAAGGCTTTAGAAAAGGGCACTTACGACACATTAGAATTTCAAAAGCTTTTGGTTATTCCAGCACCGAACGACACCACACCTTCGGGTGTGCATTCCTGGCAGGTCTACAGTTAGGCACTACAAGGTGTCGGGCACTGATTCGTTTTGTTGGATGGATCAGAAGCGCTCAGCAGAAAGAATCAGCTAGATCACTGGATAGAGCGGAAAGGATATGAGGTGTTCCTGGTTGATGATAAGAATCAAGACATACACAAAAGGAAACAACAAATTAGATTTGTTGTGTACAGTGTGGGCCGAAAGACAAAATAAAATGCAAAGAGCGGATTGATTTCCGTATGACAAAATGCAGCATGTTGATTGAGTTGTGTTTACAAACTCACAAAATAGCCATTGCAGAATTTGACGCAGGGTGTGCACCTCTTGTTTCCACATTTGTGTTCGAGCCGCAGTTATCCGTACTGGAAAATCGAACCCCTCTGCACCCTCGAACACCGTTGATGTTGTTCAGTGTGTAGTAAGCCTTGTACACTCCCGCCACCTCCTTCGGGAATTGAGTGCAGCCATATTAAAAGCGGAAGGTGTAGGGCAAGGACGCCCTGTCTTTGGCCTTGACATCCAAGATGAGAGTCATACTCATGGCCACCACTTGGTCAGGTGAACCAGAGAATGGATGGCACAAGCAGCAGCGGAAAATGTGGAGCAAGGATGGGAGGGAACCAGAAGGGACGGTCATGATGATATGAATTGGGAAACGGAAGGAAAGTGAATGCAAGCTGACATGGATCCATGTTGACTGCTTCGTGTGACACTTACTGTTATAGTTGAAGTTGATGAACTATGATCAACAGAGAGACGGAGACGGGGTCATATTGAACCTTACCCGGCCTGCATTTTGTTGGGGTCATCCCAAAGTTCTGCGGGCACTCGTAGTATGGAACATCCGCCTCGTCACCAACAGTTGTATGGATAGTTTTGCAGGAGGCACCAGAAGGACACGTGCCACAGGGTGAGTCTGAGCAGCACAGCAAGTAAATGACAAAAGGAAGGAAAACAGACGTTGCAGCAGAGAGATGGCGAAATGAGCACGACAAATGGGCCAACTGCAAATGGATATTGAGTAGATTAAGTAAATGATAGAGGTTGCAAAGACCGAGAGCAGATAGGCTGGGTTGGGTTTATAGAAAGCTGGAAGACATGCTTACTCCATTTGCATGAGCGAACTCCGTTGGTGTTCACACAAACCCCATCCTGTTCGCAGCCCAAGACGCTGCAAGCCATGTCTGACTTGAGTGCACGGAAAGGTGGGGTGGAAGAAGGGGGGGAAACCATAGTAGATAATGTTTGAAAGAAGACATAAGGTGGAACATGCAAAATAGCAGTTCAACTGCGGATTTGCCACATACAATGACTTTCAACTACGGAGTTGTGCAACACCATTGCAACTCACCGACGCAAGTCAGTTGGTCTGGAGGCATCTGGAAGCCCGAGTCGCACGTGCAAGTTGGATCCCTGTTCTCCTTTCTCGCGCACCTGCCATTGGGCCCGCAATTCACTGTAGCACAGTTGTCTGCAAAAACAAAGAGACTCAGGCAAGTAGAAGGATTATCTCCTAGTTGAAGGGAGCCCAAGGTCCAAGAATTGGGTTGGATTTGCACTCCGTGCAACTCACCAATGCAAGAGAGATTGTCAGGAGACGGCTTGAAGCCAGTGCTGCAACTAGAGTAAGGACTTCCATTTGTGTCCCTCATATAGTTGTTGCCAGGCCCACAATTCACTAAAGCACAGTTGTCTTCAAAAACGAGACCAGCCAAGAGAAAGAATATTCTCTCATCTAGAAACCACCCTTAGCGGTTTTTGACAATTAAGGGCCACACGAATGAATATGCACAAAATTTAGTGATCCTTGTAAAAAAAAAATGAGTTGAGGTGGGGTACCAAGTTGTAGAAAAGTGGGCTTGCAATGCAATGCACCCTTTAGTTGTGTGCCACTTTCCAACTCACCAATGCAAGAGAGCTTGTCAGAAGACGGCTTGAAGCCAGTGCTGCAACTACAGTAAGGATATCCACTTGCGTCCCTCATGCAGTTGTTGCCACGCCCACAGTTCACTGAAGCACAGTTGTGTGCGAAAGACGAAACCAGCCAAGACAAATCATACCATCTTATCCACAAAACTACCCTAAGCAGATTTTGACGATTAAGGGCCCACATGAACGAATATGCACACAATTTAATGATTCTTGCAAGAAATTTTGAATTGAGGGGAGGTACCAAGTTGTAGAAAAGTGGGTTTAGAATGCAAGGCACTCTCTTGCTACCCAATACTATTTTCTTCACAATGCCCCCTACTCGGATAATTCAGTAGGGGTTCAAATATATACATTCAGCAGTAGAATTTCTCCAGCAAAATGGGTATGTGTAGGTGAAATAAAGGCAAAAGGCAAGCATGAAAAAGAGGATGTATCGGTAGCAGCGTACCTAGGCAGGCGCCATTGGCGGCAGCAAAGCCCGTGTTGCATGCACAGGTGACGCCCTTGCTGTCACTCGTTGGCATGCACGTGGAGTTGCTCGGACACGTGGCGTGCTGGCAGGTGACCTTTGCCATGCCATGGGGTGGGGGGCAGCAGAGGTGTGGCATGGCTGGTGAAAGCATATGCTAGAGAAGCTCCCTTCCATGAAAGTGATGAGATGCGTGCGGCATGGTAGCAAGGTGGCATGGTGGCAAGGTGGCACGGTGGCATGGTAGCAAGGTGGCACGGTGGCATGGTAGCAAGGTGGCATGGTGGCATGGTAGCAAGGTGGCATGGTGGCATGGTAGCAAGGTGGCATGGTGGCATGGTAGCAAGGTGGCATGGTGGCAAGGTGGCATGGTGGCATGGTAGCAAGGTGGTGTGGTGGCATGGTGGCGTGGTGGCGTGGTGGCATGGTGGCGTGGTGGCGTGGTGGCATGGTGGCGTGGTGACAAGGTGACATGGTAAGTGGCAAGAAGGCAAGGAGGAACGAAAGGAGGCAAGGCACGCACCAGGCTTGCAGGAAACGGACATCCATCGAGAGACCTTCTTTGTGCTGCAAAGATATGAGGATCAGACAAGGAATCCAGGATGAGACAAGGATATCAGGAACGTGACTAATGGATCAGACGTTACGTTAGGGTGGCAAATTAGATCACAACACGAGGCACGACAGTCGCCCATAAAACTGGCATTGTCCCCACGACCCACCAGCCAGGCTGCACCCACGACCCACCTGGGCACGTTGAAGAATCTGCGCAGGCTGGCAAACTGCGGCTTCAGCACCTCATCCAGCGCCTTGCCCTTGCAGGCGGGGTTGGCAAAGAACTGCAGCTGCTTGCACGCCGCCCCCGCCCTCTGCTTCCCGCTGATTCTGCCGCCCGTGAGCCTGTGCCATCACACCTGCACGTCCCGCCCTGCCATGGCCACCGCGCGGGGAAGGCTCAAGCAGCGGAGAACATCAAAGCTGACGGGGAGGCTGACGCCCGGCACCGTGATCTGCGTTGCCACCTGCACGCTCGCACCCACCGATCCTCGGCCGCCGCTGCAGCTGCCATTCCCCGCCCTCGCCCCCATCTACACCCCCATGCTCGTGTTCCCACCTCCCCAGGTGACCTCGCTTTTAATGCTCCTCCTTGCATTCACCTCGTCCCTGCCTACTCCCATCCTCTCTTTTGGACAATTTGTGCACACGCCTGCTGCCACGCGAGCCGCTGGATGCAGAAGAACCAGAGAGGTGAGAGTAGAGGGGTGAGAGGGAGCAGAGGGGTAAAAGGGAGCAGAGGGGTGACGGAGCAGATGGGTGAGAGGGAGCAGAGGGGTGAGAGGGAGCAGAGGGGTAAAAGGGAGCAGAGGGGTGATGGAGCAGATGGGTGAGAGGGAGTAGAGGGTTGAGAGGGAGCAGAGGGGTGAGAGGGAGCAGAGGGATGAGAGGGAGCAGAGGGGTGAGAGGGAGAAAAGGGGTGAGAGGGAGCAGAGGGGTGAGAGGGAGAGGGGTGGGAGGAAGCACATAGAAACGTACAGATTCTATTTGCGCACAGAGGAAAAACCCAATGAGAACGAGAATGAGGGACAAACGGCTCACCGTAGATGATGGCAAGGACGAGGAGCGGAAGCAACGCGACA